ACAAACACACGAAGCAAGGATTCGTGGGGTAGTCAATTCATCACACTGCTGAACTCACTCGTTCGAAGCCGCCGGACGACAGGATCCACCCTCAACCACAATGACTCACCACGAGTCCTCCGCGTTATTTCGTTTTCTCACCCTCTCCCCAATGCCCATCATGGAATTCGGTGGTGGTAGTTGTAACGCCTCCTACGGCTAAAAACACCCCTAAACTTCTGCAGTGTCTCTGTAGTGGACTGACAGCCACCTCGCGTGAGTGATGCGTGCATGAGGGCCCGAGTGGACCAATGACTCACCCCTTTTGTTATTGGCCTCTGTCAGCATTCGACTGTTACGCACACGTACCCGTACGCCCACAAAGCCACTTTGCTTGTTGGTCGCCGCTTTTCCCCCCTTCCTCGGGTAGTATCGGGTTGTTAACTATTGTTGTAAGGTAGCGCTAAATCTCAAAGCCACTACACCTCATCGCCTTGCGCAACGCTCAAGCATGTGTGGATTCGTGTCAAAGAAGCGAAAGACGTCTCACTTGCGACGAGATAGGTACGAAAAAAGGGTTTCCGACGCGGCGCGGCCCACGATTCCAGCTCCAGACGCGATGGTTGGTGGGTCGAAATGGCATTTTGTGCAGTCAGACTCGCTTATTGCTCGTTTTTTGACTCCATTCACACTGCACCAATGTGACGAATCAGCCGACTGTGATTACTCGCCGTGTCAAACGTCAGTCGTGTGTTGTTTATGTGCGAGCGTAAATCTGCGACACACAAAGAAAAACATCCAACTCGAGGCCCGACCCACTCGTGACTGTGGCTTCTGCGCCGGTGTTCGTTCTCAGTTGCCTTCCGTGATGTGTAACACGCCGGTCACTCCATCTCCATCAATTTGTGCTGGTCGTGCTACAGCTGCTGTGTTATTGCCAGCCCAATTTCCTTCTTTAACAATCGAAATCTCGCAATAAGTTGGCAAACGTGTGTGAAAGGCCCTGTATTGTCTTGGCGGTACACGATTTAATCTCGACAACTGTTGAGATTCGACCAAATTGACAGCTTGATCTGGTTGTCTTGGTGTAGTTCGGCTTTCCGTGTGGTTTGCGCCAGTTCACCACTCTCCGAAGTCGACTATTTTCAGTCGGCGTTACTGGCAAAAATACTACGAATCATCATCGGGGGCGACGTGTTCCTCTGCTTTCTTGACGCGCATAAAATATACCTATTTGTTGTTTCGCTTGAATTCCTTCCAGTTTATTGGTGAAACCTCTCGCACGATTGAGTAATGACGATCGGATTCAGTATTGACTATTCCTCGGTATGTCGGCTAGAACGATGTTGGCCGTTTCCTATGTGAAATATCTCCACGTCGAAATATTTTAAACTAATCATGACATAGACGAACCGTTGAGCAATCAATACTTTGCATAATTCACTGCGAGCCGCGCGCACAACGCAACTGCCTGAAACTAATTCCTTGAGTTGAACAACACGGTAGACCGGCCTCGGACAACAGATTATGCTGTCGTTATACTACTGAACTGGATTGGTGCGTAGTGGTCTAGGGAGGGCAGTCAACGACCTGCTGATTAGTTTGCACTGGAGGGGGGTTGGGGTTTGAATCGCGCTCTGAACTGCTGGTGATTGTCAACGCCGGTATCCATGTTCTTTCATCCCGTTTTTCCCGAAACCCCAGTGTGCAGTCTCAAACCACACCAAGGCCGCCACGTTTTTATTGGTCCGAACATACCTGGGAAGACCAAGATAACTGGAGATGGCGGAGACACAACTATCGTGTTTGACTAATTCAGTTGTTGATCAATAGCGTTTGGGCGAACTAGTAAAAGTACAACTACGTGAAGTGGATATCGGACCGCGCGCTCAGATATGTCGACTTGATTGATGGGGGGGTTGCCGTGAAAAGAGGGGACGGTGTTGTCTGATTATGCGGTGACAGATTTGGCAGACGTCTGTCATAACAATTCTCTACACCCTGTATAACCATCGACTACAGCAACCTCCCCCAGCATGGCAATCATTGTGCGTGTCGGTGGTGTCGTTTACACGCTACTTCACGTGGACCAGCGTACTGCCAATAGTTTCGCTTTGTTTTGCCAAAATTACTGGCGCGTAGTGATTGCGGCTGTGATGTGAAAATCACGTTTGAGTAAATAAGGCGGGATTCCGTGGTAACGCTTCGTTGTGTTTGTTCTTATCTTCTTTTTTTTTGTTTCAGTAACCCCGCTCTACGGAACTTACTCGCGAGAAAGCGCCATCTGAAGTTGCCGTAGTAACTACCGCACAGCTGGATTTGATCACCTGACCCCAACCTCTCTGAGTCTGGTGCGTTCAGGCGTCGTTTCTTTCTCTCACGCTGTTACCATGGTTCTCTAATGGCCTTGTGCGACATCTACTCGGTTAATCTATTCACGCCGTAGCCTCTGGTTATTGGTTGGTATTGCATTTAGAACATAAAGCGACTCGCTGTGATAGGTACATAAATATACTTGTTTGAATTGTCGGCTGTTAAAATTGGTGTTTTCGTGTGGACATAATAAGATCTTCCACGGGATGCGGAAAAACTGTTAGGATATAACGTGATTCAACCCCGTGTCTGCATAATTTGCAAATTCACGTCAACGTTATTTTATTACCATCGTGTAATGGCGTCAATTGGCTAATTTTACCACACCTCAACCTACATGGATGCTCTCATTCTTGCGTTCCACTGTTTCCTGATAGCGGTTTGTCAGGCAATCTACGCGTTGTTCGTAGATTAAACACGCCTCCTCTTTTTGAACCGTGTTCCGAAATTGTGGGCTTTTGTTTCGGTGTTTGGTCAAACGGTGACTTTATGTCGAGTTTAGGCCTGATTCGGTGGAGTTGACTTGTTTCAATCGCGCCATTTGCGTGATTGGCGTGAAACTGACTACATATAGCTCCAGCTGGACGTCTTCATGTCCTCGTCAAGTGATCGCGGGCCGGAATTCGTGCATACATCGAATCGATTTATGGGAACGTGAATGCTCAAAACCTTCGGCAGTAGCTTTTGCAATTGCTCAATGTAAAAATCCGTGGCTGACTGCGCACGTGTCACTAATAGAATGTCCGTTCAAAGTTCACTGGCCAGTTGTAGTGGCAACAGTTCGTGCTTGTGCGCGCACGCGCGCGATAACCAATTCCATCGGACAGCCGAGCGGTAGCAGAATTCGAGAGCTCTTTTCTAGCCATGGTTTTACCTCTAGCAAATAGCGCCGATCGAAAGCCGGGAATGGAGCTTTCCGTCAATTTGGGGTAATCTACTGAGTTGACTTGTGATTTACTTACTGCGCCACACGAAACTTGACCGTAAACCACGCGAACGCGCTGAAGCTTTGTGTTTTGTTTTTAAAAATAATTGGCACGTTGCAAAAAATGACCACCGTTACATCTAGAAAGACGACTTAATGCGTTCCTGGTGCTGTTCGACAGTCAATTGGAACCAGAAATTGAGGAAAAAGCGCTTTTCTCTCCCTCCTCCTCCTCTCACCTCATCGTCGTGTTGTTTTTGTCGCTGTCATACGCCATCTGTCCTACGTCTCACATCAACTCGTAATGAGGTGTTTGGAGTTTGCTGATTGGTTGTCATTTCGGCAACGAAGGTCACTTGATAAATCTGCCTTAACGCCTCGACAAGGCTCTAGCTAACCGCCAAAATTAACTCCACGGTGGAGGTTGCGCGTAATGCAGTAAATCCTCAGGTAGACTTTGCCAGCACTCTCGTAAAACCGTGAACACGAGTGTTTCACCTCTAGGGCGCGCTGTCATTGGTTGGAAGTGCTGGTTGGGTCTGGCAATCGAACCGACATTAAGGAAGAGCCGAATTCACGTAGGCCTAGCGACGGCTCACAGAACGACGCAATGTGGACTCGATCGTTTAGTAGGTGACCCAACAGCGTTTGGTTTGTGTGTGCACGACTGCGACTGCTTGTCGATTGCACACGTGCACAAAGAGGTCAGCATCTGCTGGTGACCCTAATCAATAGGGGTCAGGCGACAGGAGGGGGGATGTGCTCGATACTCCGCGCAGTTACGATCGGTAAACCAGGACGTTGTAGACGTGGTTTGGCGCAAGGCGATCCGTCAAATTGAGGCTCGTGCTGCAGAAACTGGTGAATTCTGCCAGTTTCGTGTTTTGTTTTTTATTCAAACCGGTGGCAGGTGCATTTTCTAGCCCCCTTCAGACACGATTGGCGCGTGTTTTTGTTTGAAACTGTCATTTTTGCGGGTAGTTTAAACACCGGGTGGTGCAAGGACGAAAGTTTCAGACGTATTTTGTTGCTTTTTGTAAAATTCAGCAAAGACAAGTTAGTTGCAGTTGGGGCACACAACGCGAAATGAGAAGTGCAAAGTGTCGTACACGCCAGAATTCACCGACGTCTCTAAGGGCAATTCAAGTGACAATCGCTATTTTTGGTAGGCATCGGGAATGCCACGAGAATATTGCTTCTTTGAAGTACATCATCACTGGAGATGCTTCGTTGGATTGTCTTGAGTAGTTCCGACTGACAACGATCGTGGTCAAAGCGTAACGAACTGGGAAAAAGCATGTATAGGTTTGCATTACATCGAAGGATAATCAATCTATCAGTTTTGTGATGCTAACATGGTTCTGTGTTGAAACCTCAAGGTATTAGATTGAGAAACATTCAATCGGAAACGGTTAGAGTTGGCAAATCGCAAAAGATTCGTGCCCCGCCAACACAATGGAAAGCTTTAGTCCGCCTCAGAAGTGATTTTGTCATTTATTTTTTAAAGCTCGCACTGACGACGATAAGATCCGGAAGTTGCACGAGTGTGGAGCCGTCCGTTTTCCGGGTTGGTACCAAAGTTGAAAGCACATATTTGATAAAGGCCTATTTGTTGGGTGGGCAATTTTACACGACTAAACTGAAATAGCGTTCCTGCAAAAACACGACAACTGCTTACCCGGCTGTGGGGTACGCTGGGTGTCAGCATCTAACTCCACCCCTCACCTCCAGTCCGGCATACTCCACCTCAACTCCCCCGAATCGATATTTAAGAGGTCAGAAGAAATCGCCTTTACACCAACACTCCGTAAATGCTAGTAGCTGAGATCACACATTCTCCGGGTGTAGTTTATGCTTGCGAACCAAGTTAGACGCGCAGTAACCTCCTCGTAAAAATACTGAATGTGCTTGAAGAACCTTATTGGCAGTTTCGGTCTGAACATTGAAACATGCTTATCGTTCACTGTGTGGAGTTGTTGGTAGAAGTCCGTCTGCCACCAATGCGCAAACTTTTTGCTAACTGCACTGTTTTTTTTTAGCTGTGCGCGTATGTGCGAACGCCCCCCTCCCCTTGGCTGTGAATACCTCACCACGTCCCCCTAATCTCCGATCGGAGCCGACCAGACACCGACAGAACGATCCCATTCCTCTCCCTACCCTCCCCCTCTTCCGCCCCTAATTACTATTTACCTTTGTACGACTCAACAGAACTCACGCACCACCAAGCCGTTTTGGGGGATACCGTGTAAACAAGTGACGAGATCGAACGACCCCTTTTTTCTTGATCAACATGTTGTCGCTGTAGCTTTGTAGCTGCCGCGGTGCACACGTAGTTATTACGCGCAGGTTCTAAGACGCCACTATTTGAGGTAGTTAGGCAGAGATCTCTGGGCAACTGATGCACAACCCATTCCGACGAAATGCTGGTAAATCATCCACCTAAGTTCCACGGAGTCTTACGCTGCGTAGCACCACTTTCACAAAGTACTCCACGACAGAGCGTGTGGATTCAGCGCGGACGGGGGTGTGTAGTCATCATAACCATGTGTCCCTCGTTGCTGAAATTTGGCTGGTGGTGTTCTTTGAAGTCGATGAGAACTGGAGATGGGTTCCGACACATTCATCACCTAGACAAGCCCTGCATCTGCGTAGGCTCGGTAACCCTCGGATCAATGACTCGTTCCTTGCCGTTTCAGCCGTTAAACGTGCCTGCGGCACTGAATTGGCATTCCACCGGTTGATGCGCCTCAAACCACTAATTTTTCCCACTACTACTGCCTACCCGTACTTTTTAAGTAAGCTGTTTTTTTGCCTGAGAAACGCCAAAATATTAAACCGCTTTCCAAGTGCAATTATCACCCCGGCGTTTCGTGTGACGAATTTGAACACCTCTGGGGCGTGGTATCTCGCTGTGCTATGCCTTCAACTCAGCCAATCAACAAAACAAGAAAGCAACACCACACCGGGCTGTGCATCTAATTAAGACGGCGATATCACTAACTTTGCTTCTATACACATCCTAAACAAACTGAAGTAGAGCAAACACAGCGAGGGCTTCCTTTCGTCCAAAGTTAAAAAAGGTGCAGCGGACCGCGGCGACGGCTTTAGAGGGTCTCTGGGTCGGATTTGCGCATCCGGAACTGAAAGGAGGGGAAAAAACAGGAGCACATCAACCGACGAACGTCCAGTGGGCAAGGTAAAACGGTGTGCGAGCGAGAATCAGCCAAGGAACGAAGTCAAACGGCTCCCAGACTGGTGATACATTCTAGAGAGAGCATGTCAGATATTTCTGGCAATTTGGGTTGGTTATGCGTGCGTTTAAGGTGTATTCGAAAATCCGGAACACTGTCGATTAAGCAACAGCGGTTAACTCGCAGAAGTGGGTAATTAAATGCACATTTGATGAGAATTCCTGGGTAAATGAGGAAACCTGGATTGTGTCGAACCGTGATCTCAAACGTGACAATTACAACCAACACCATTTTCGAACACGTTGTTTCAAACCGAAAACCTGACTAAATAGAATTTAAACAAAAACTTGATTCACTCTACCAAGAACTCGTGCGTTTTCAACTTTATTTTGCCAGGCCTTCCCGCTGACTTAGTCGATATTCACACTTGTGAAATAAGGGTCACCAACACCCTAGATGTGACGTTACACTACAAGCGAAGAACATTTAAACAGCTTGTCTTGCTAAGGTGTGAAGTAATGGAGGTTTCCAAGCGAAATTCGGCCCATGTTGAGTCTTTCTAATCGTACAACAGATACAAGAAAACAGGTGTCTACAAGCTAGAAGCAATGCCGATTACCTAGGCGGATTCATATATGTGGGTATTCGTGATTAAGGTCACAGAAAACAGCATTCGAAACACGCACACACACACACACACAGCGACTCACATAGCGGAACGCAGCCACACAGCGGATAAAGGATTCGACTTCTTTGGAGCAGTTGAGCGACTTCGTCCCGTTGGCCTTGTAGCAGTCCTCCACTGCTTTCTGATCAGCTACGCAGCACTCTTCTGGGCTTCCCCGTCTGCAGACAAAGCAAGCACTGGCGTCATTAACAAATCGAACCATCGCAAAGTGGCTGTTAGATCGTGGCTCATCATTGACATTAGAAAAAATACGCACCAATCAGAAGCTAAACTCTGGAGATACCTGAAAACTGTGACTTGGTTGACTGAAGTGGATTTTTAATGCAGAATGAAATCGGGCGGACGTACATGTACTTTGCCTGAAGACGATCCACTACTTTGGTGAATTCTTCTTCTGCAGCCTTGAGGAATTTGTCATTCTAAAAGTGGACAAAGCAAGGTGAATATCGATTTGAGGACCCCCGGCAGAATGGCTATAACAAGCCTAGTGAGTCACAAAATAAAAATTGACGGCGGGACAAGCAGAAGAGATAAAAGCTAGCAAATGATCACAACCCAGATGATTTTACTCTTCTTGGGATACCATTTATCGCTAAACAAACTTGATCGTAAATAAATCATTCGGATTTTTCTCATTGATGCATCGCAGGAACCAAAATCGGTCAACACAAGGCTTAGTACCCACCCGTTCTTCCACTTTTCGCAATCGAGTCTCGTAATTCCGCTCAATTTGGTCCAGGGAATGCACCAGATGATGAGCAGCAACGGAGCCGACAGGTGCAGAATCGTGGACGGCAGTTGGCGGAGGTTCTTCTGCAGATGGAAATGGCGCGGTTAGGATTAACAAGCGAACCAAAGACGGGAAACCAACCTTTGACAAGGGGGATTGGTGCTGGGGGAGGAGCTTCGGCAGGTGGTGAATGAGATTGATGGCTTTTCACTCGGTCTATTACATCATCGGAAACCTGAAAATAAGAGTACGAATATATTGCAACTCGCGATTAATAAACATGCGCAAATTCGGGTGGAATAAGTTGAGTAAAATTGTAACATTAGGTTACAGAGGCATACGGACGTATTAACGCAGTCTGTGTCAAAAACCTTAAATAGAAAAGTCACCATGCGAACAAACATATTTGACTTGTACAGTCTGCTTTGATAGGCTTTAGATGAAGTTGGGGAAGAAAATAAAAATTTAGTAAAATACGCAAGAAACCACCAGATGATTTTAAAATTTAATAACGAACTCACGAGGATATCCGAACGACTGAAAGTAACGTCATACGGTGGCGAGGTTCCAAAAACAGAACCCATTTTTTACTATAAAAATATAGGAAGAATTCCAAAATCTTAGGATAGGTTGTTAATAACAGTAGAGGAGCTTGCAGAGGTGCAGGCATAATATTGTTTTAAGCACTTTTAGACAAGAAAAGCATGCAGTTTTGGAAAATTAGTTAACAAACGAGTTACACTAATCGCCAAAAAAGGAATTTTTGTTGGGGACAGGAATATGCAGATAGAAAACACTTGAAAAGTTACTTCGTACATACTTTTAATAAGCTTGAAGGCAACAGATTTCCAATTATTTTTTGTAAAAAAGTAAAAAAAGCTGGCACCAGAAAATAACAAACACGTGAACGGGCGATTCCCACTAGATAACAAGACAAGAATTCTGATCGACAACTACACAAAAAGAGTGTTCAGTGTGGCTCGGCATAGCAAAAAGATAGGTAGTAGATTAATGAAATCTGAAACCAAAGCATAAAGAAACCCAACGCTGTTTTTTGTAAGTCATTGGCTGAATACTTTGACAAAAATGAGTTTTTTTTCAAAAGCGGAACGAGAAAGTAACACTTTGTTCAAGTAATAATCCATGCAAACGTGATACATTAACAGCAGCAAATAGCGTGCTGTAATATTTTAGCAAAAGCTAACTACATACGTAATAAAAATCAATGTAAAAGCCACAATAAGGTGAGAACGAAGATTTTCGCAACTGTAAGCGACCAGTGGCCCTTTACCAACTCAAGATGATAGTGCGATCATACATAACCGCCTTCATAATTTTGAGAAATATACTCATCTAATTTTTAAAATAAAAGTCCAGGTTTTTATTATTCGATCTAGGTGATACGTTTAAAGCAAAAGTAGTTGTCGGCTCAGTAAAATAGTAGATTAAAGCTAATGAAATTTGATATACAAGCACAACCACGTGCCAAAAAGTAATTATATTCTTCCCCAACCAACTGAACTAAAAGATGTATTAAAAAAACTGCCAGCAAAAACGCAAAAAAGCTTGAAAATTCTGTGTATATTTGGTTTTTTAAAAACAGGTGATTTCAATGTAGCCAGAAAACCGGAAAAGTCGAATTTGGTAAGCCTGTAAAATTCAGTTATATAGGGTAAGTTATTTCTAATGGGATTGCATTCATCGTAAAGCAGATATTGACAAGTTTAACACATTTCCGCATTTTTTTCGGATAGATTTGCAGTTAATGTAATGTTCGATGCATTTTGTCTGTTAACCAACCCAAGTCAAAGAGGTGGGAATGCAAACTCATTCTTGAGTTGAAAACGGCAGGGAAAGAGGTCTAAATCCAATTTTTTTGTTAAGATTGGGCCTTCATAGTGCTCGACTAGCATTGGTTTTACCTTTACACATTTGTAGACTAGATCTTTTATCCTAGATTTGATTAACAGTAGCGGGGAAAAGCAGTAATGGAAATTATAAATCTTTGTGCAACTCACACTTCCTAGCTGCACACGTGATTTGCCAAAATACTTACTTAAAAAATCCCCAAGCACTAAATTTTTAAATGGGAAAGCATAAAAAAGGAAGCAAGATTTAAAAACTATGAGTTCAAGAATTTAACGAAAGACCTACTTCACTCATATCTAAGAATTTCCATGTGGCAGTGAATATAAGTAATTATTATGGTCATAATGATAAAGGTACATTTTGCTTATAGATCAGTGTCGATACATTTTCAAATGCTTCAGATGAATTAGTATTTCGTAAAATATGGCTGTTTATGTGTCACAATAATAGCTTGCTTGGATAGATGAATACTGAAACATAAGGATTCTAATATTTTAAGAGCACATTATTGTCAAGATACTAACGCAAACGCAGTTTCGAATTGTAGGCTACTTGGGTTAACCATGTATTAATATGTTAAATAAGTAAACTAAAAACTCGACCTCAAATTTCCCAAAAAAGTAGTTGAATCCTGTTGAATTTATCGATTTTAATAACCTTTCGTAAATAAGTAACTGAATTACAATTTCAACTTCTGGTTCAGAAACAATTTTTCACAGTTTAACGAAAATATGTAACCAGCACATGTGGCGTGTTCTCTGATTCTTGTATTATATTGTGATCTAATATAAACTGCCTTAAAAATTTTAAAATATTTAACAAGCAGTTTACAACATTGCGGTTGTAGTTATGTGACTCAAGGATTTCAAATGCGGTAAAAAGCACACATAAATTTTATACCTTAGTGTGCAAATCAATGGTACTGTTGCATCAAACGCTCAACTTCCAAATTGTGCAATTCGTTTTGTAAAAATTTTAAGTCTAGACTATATTTTCAGTCTATAATTGCATCAAATTTCCGGCTTGGTAGTGATGAGTGGATTTTGAGATAATCCGTACGTTATTGGCGCAGTTTTTCGAAGGATGATTGGTGGTGGTCGCTTCACAGATTTTTTCCAGTCAACATAGTATTTCATTTTTTTTTGTTTTTTGTCCACCATACTTAATTATTGCAACTAAAATGACATCCAAAAGGAAAGATCAGCAGATTCCCAATGTAAACGGGTCGCATTGTATGACTTGGCGTGAACTGGTTGAAGCAGATGACTACGCGACAAGTTTGACAGTTGATCCTTTTTTGGGTTTTAAGACCCACAAAATGACAGAGTATGTCAATTTGTGTTGCTTGATTTGTCTATTCAGAATGCGCTTGCGCTTAACTGATCGCGTGAAGGACCGTTTGAAGAAGGTCATAATTGACTTTCAGCAGCATAAGGAATATGAAAAAGCGTTTAGAGAGTTGACTACGGAGGATGTGTACATTAAACGTCAGTTTAGAAATGACTCTCGTTTTCGTGATCATGTGAGACAAATTGTTCAATTTTAATTTATAGATTTACCGCTATCTTTTACTTTTTGACGACCGTTCTGGGGTTCAAATCCGACCATGTTGGCGGTACGCTTCGGAACATCATGTCGGCGCTGCAATTTTCGCCACAAAAAATTGGTAATTCATGTTCCTGTTTCCCTTTAGTTTTTAGGTCAAAAGGCTCACGAATAGATTCCCTTGTTGGATGTATCGCTGAATTGAACTATGACGACGAAGTTTCATTTCTGCGTCACAAACAAAATGACTTTTCTGTGATGTATTCCTCCAGGAAGAATCGTTCACAGTTATGGTTGGGTCCTGCAGCTTACGTAAATCATGATTGCCAACCGAATTGTGCAGTAAGTAGTATATATTAAGTCTTAAATGAGTTCTATTCTTCGTCTGTTTGAAGTATTATGTTATTTTAATTGTCTGATGCCAGTAACTTTGTCGTATTATTTTTCATTAATCTATACAAATGTAGCTATTGATCAACATGCTAAGAGTAAAGAAGTCTAAAGGTTTTTTTCTCGTGTGCTACTTCGTTGTGCATGGATTGAGGAATTGTATACCCTCTGGTCATTCCTTTAACCTGTCGCCTTTCGAAATCTCAAATTTTGTCGAAATTAATTATTACTGAGGTTTTGCTATCGCTCGTTAGGTTTTCCTGTGCTTCCTCAGGCGGAGCACTCAATTTCAACTTGTTGTAAATGTATAACTCAGACCTCGTCAATTTAGAATATTGTCTCACAAAACTGTGTTCGCGTAAATGTCTTTTCGCGCCTCCAAAACGGCCGCAGTTATTTGAAATGGCTCGATAAACAAATCCTGTGTTTTTCCTCTAAGTTTACAATCAACTGTGATGGTGACGCACGCATGAGCTTGAACGCCTTGATCGACATAAAACGGGGCGACGAAATCTTCATCTACTATGGAAAGCATTTTTTCGACGCGAACAACTCGAGTTGCGAGTGTTTCACCTGTGAACTCCTTGGCAGGGGTTTCTTCTCACCGAGCAAGACAGCAGCGATGGCGCCGACGCCGGTTGAGGAAGTTGGCCGTCCGAATCCACCGACGCGAGGCGTCGATGAAAACACCAGCCGCGCTCGAGCGAGAACTGCTACCACGGCACCGCATGGTGGGGATGTGCTGGTGGAAGTACTCAGGGAACGGCTTATGCAGAGTGCGTTTCATGTCGCTACCTTCGTGGAAACAGTTTTTCATCTACGAAATCAATACATTCCCTGTGGTTCTCTTCAGTGACACTTTTGGCGGTATTTCCGATTGTGGAAACTGATATTCTGCCGGTTGAATACGCCCAGTCTTCGGTGGACATAAATAGTTATCAAATGGGCGCATCCCTTTTCATGCGGAGTAGTTCTTATCGTGTGTTGAACGCCGATGGTTCGGACGGTCTGCCACACAGTGGATGAAATATTTGCCTAGGATGCTTGACCACTAGTCCACACGATTATGAATAGCGCAGTGGTCTACGCCGGAAAGTCATTACTGTTCGGGGACATTAGCAAAGCTCTTTGCATGCTCCAAAAGTCCAATTTGTGTGCACATTCGATTTGCCCGCTATAGCATTCCTAAAATTGATGCCAGTGGCTTCGTGTTATGCTAATAGACTAAATGAATTTTAGATTCTACCCACAGTAAACGATGCGCAGCAGATCTTAGTGAAAACGGAGATTTCAATTCTTAAGTTTGACATGAAGCGTAAAATAGTTTTGAAATCTTGCCATCCAACTTTAACTATGGTGGTTTACTAAATGCTTAGCAAAAGCCTACCTTGCAAACTTTGTAAGTCCGCGCGTTTTTGTTGAACCGTTTGGTGAGATTGGTTGAAATGCCTTCATTCTCCTTTTTGCTCTCCTCCCCTCCACCACCAACACTTCCAAACGGCTGGTAAATTGCACTCCACGAACCTGGCAGCTGATTTGTGTTTGTGGTGATCGAAGGCAATGATGAAGAATTTGTTTCTTGTGCAAACACTGACCTCCCCTGTAAAGAACTTGTGAAACATCAAACTTATTTCTGCGCAAATAATTAAACTCGCCTACAGTTTATGAAAAAAAAACAAAATCCTGAAGCGTGTTCCTGTGCCATCCAAAGCCATCTGCGCCAAAAAACATGCTATTTTACTTCCTGCTACGCTATTCTGGTAGGCATCTTAACTGCTGCCGTTAAGCATTTGAGTAGTGTGTTTCAACTTCCAGCACCCATTCGTCGCACATCCAACAGTCGAATATTCTCGGAGCTCCAAGCAGACAACAATTTCGCAGCTGCCAGCAGTGATTCCGCTGACGAGAAAGCGCAACCCACCCCAGCCGCAATGAACGGTCTCCTTGTAAAGGGCTTGTCCACGGGTCTGGCCCAGAAGGCGGTGAACACAGCCAGCTACAGCCTGCGTCACACCGGTTCCCGTCTCAACCGTGTCAAGGAGAAGATCTACTCCGAGATGCTCTCTTGTTTGCAACCCCAGGGAGCTTCGGTGAGTCGAAGACCCTCGCGAAGATCCACTCCCTCCACCGTCAAGTCCACCCCCACCACTCCAAGGCGCTACTCCCTTCGTGCGCGTTCAACGGCGAATGTGGCGATGAGGGAGAAGCGTCAGCTGATGGGGAAGCGGTTGACGCTACGTGTGCGCGCAGCGCCGTCCACCTCGATGCTCTCGCGCGATCTTGACCAACTGCCTCAAGTCGTGGACCTCACAACCTCCCCGGAATCTCCCACTGTTTCTAGGAAAATATCGCGACACCGTGGTACGCTGCGTGCACACTATTTCTGCATTCCAGCTTCGTTGCACCCTCAACCCATGTTTGAAGTATCTGAGAGTGTACTAATGTGAGTTGCTTGTTTTGCAGATCTCTCGATGTGGAATTGCGTGGCCCAATGCCCCTCTCCATCGACTTCGTCCACCTCAACAGTTGCTGCCACCCAAGCTGACAGCGATGTGTTACCGAAAAGGCCTCAACGGCGGCGATTAACCAACACCACCAGGCGATTGATCTCAAACCCATCATCTTCCAATAACGCCGCATCAGCTTCCACCTACTTCCTCCGTCAAGCTCCACACCGACCCTCCAATGTACCCATCGCCGTGGACATACCGTCCACACCTCCTCCCTCTGCCTCCACCCATTCGCCCTGTTCGTCCGTGAGCACATGTCCTGCGGTCGGTACGACTCCACGCCTCGTTCTCGTCTGCAAGCGCTCCAGACCAGCTAGTTCAGTGGGCACCGAGGAGCGGGAGGAAGTGGACGAGTGGTTCGTCAAGGAGGACCATCCAACGCCTCCGCCACTGCACTCCTCGAACTCCTTCCTCACCAACTTCTACGATGAAGGCGGCGGCGGCGGCAGCAGCAACAACAACGACGGCGGCAGTGGGTGTGTCGGTGAGAAGGTTGTGACACGACTGTCCCTGTCGCGGCACAAACGGTTCTGGGGCACTTCGGTTTCCTCCGTCTCCAACACACCCTCTCCGCCACATCTCCAAGCGGCCTCTCCACCTCCGCCAATCCTGCAACAGGCTCCCGACGACCGGTTTGTCTTCCCCAGAGTGAATTCTTGTGTTCTGGGGAGACTGTGTTCCTCCACGGAGACTGCGCCACCCCTGGAGTCGGACGAGGTCTCGGATGGCGAACGGTTGCTTGCTGCCGGGGTCGAGTTGAGACCCTTGACGGTCACGATAAAACGGCTGGGGCAGAACCTTTACTGTGTCCCCACGACACCCACAGACTGCGACAGCTCTCTTACCGAGTGATAGTGGCTAGTGACAGTGATTTTACTTTGAATGTTATGCCTTTTATCTGCATATAGATGTACATATGTGAAATCTAGGTTTTATTCCCGTCTAGGTTGTATGTCAAACAAAAATGTTCTTGAAATCCTTTTCTTCTGAAAATTCTCTCCCGCCTTCTCTCCAGGGTGCAGTAAAGGCTGGAGAGGAGGTTTTAAAACAAGGCGGTGTGTTGTGGCGCGATTTCACCAGACCTGAAAAAATAGGGCTCTGTCGCCTTAATTTGACGTTGTTTTAAAAGCGTTCTGCTCTAGTTCTCTACTGACATCGAAAATTGTACCTTTAACCACTTTCGGCAAAGGTCCCTGGAATTCGCTTTCCCGAGATTCGATTTGGAACGTGAATTTCGATAACTTATTGGTAATGCGTTGTCAAGATTGAACTGACAAATTTAAATTATGCCTTCTGGGCATTCCTTTTGACCCCTTCGGTAACCGCTTGTACTTGTTTAAGTTTAGGCAAATCACCAAGCAGCGAAATTGTCCCACGTGACCGACACTGAAATCAATTAACGGAAATCAATGCACGAAAATTCGAACGGAAATCAAATGATCGAAATTAAGAACTTCCGTGAATTCACTTGAGTGCATCTCACGCCCACGGGCTGATAGCCGATAGCAGAAATGTCCACTCGTTAACCAAACCGGAGTGATGGTTGTTCAACAAAGTACCACCGTGAATCGTGGTACTTTGTCTAGACCCTCCACCCTAGAACTGTTTCCATTGGTTCACCAAGAACGGTGACAGATTCATCACTGTTTACTTTTATTCACTCAGTTACGGTTTGTTGTGGAGGTGCTGTCTACATTCCCACGATGCCATCCTGTCATGGAGATCTTAGAGTGAAACCCTGTCTAACTCATGGCATGTTGAGGTCGGAGAACCAAGAATTGACCGTAAAGGAATAAGCGGAAAGGGTTGGGTGTCACCTTCGTAGTTAATAGAATAACTCAAAACTACCCCTTTGACCCGTTTTTAGCGTCTATTCCAGTTGTGCAATCTAGCATTGCATTCGAGGAAGGCAAACCTTTAGTGCCACAGACAGGAAGACAGCAGCAATTCTACAATGAATTTGAAATGCAAACGTGCTGACACAGATTGTGGAACGTCAAACAATGGTTAGATTATTGCGCTTAATTGTTCCATGTCTAAATTGGACCTCACGGCTGACGGAATCTCAAAATTTAAAAGAATTTGACTAATAGCAAAATGTTGCCCCCCTATTCCCTACTCTGATGTGTCTTTATTTGTGTTTTCATCGATGAAGCGCCTAGATCTTCGTATCTTGGGACATCTATGGTAATTTTGGACCCCAATTTGACTGGGTCTTCCAAATTACTCCTGTCGATTTTTGATCCACATAAAGCTTCAAGTTACAACATCAAGCCGATTCCTTATCCCAACAGTTTTGAGGGATAATAATTCGATTCCTTTTTGTTTAACGTCTAAGATTATGGAAGGTGGTTCTTGCTTCTCATGCATAATTTCAAATAAAAGTATCAGATCCATCTAATGAGGTACACGCATAATAAATCTACAAATTCTCCTGGCTATTTAACCGCATGAAATCTGATATATTTGGGCCTAAATTTAAAAAAAACGTGCTCTGCGTTCTGTTCATGATGATTTTAGCAGTCCACGGGATGTTTTTTGATAGTGTTTGAACCACGCCACCTGCCCTTTTTGAAGTGTTCGAACATAAATACTGCTGTTATATTTATCTGTCTCGTCGAGGCGAATTTCAGTAGGTCATTTGTAGAGAGCACCACTCCAAAATCGGAAAAGATAAAACCGGGTGTGCAAATTCTTCACCTCACTTTATAGATTTAGATTTTAACGTGCATTTGTCCTCGTATCATAGACTTTCATGTAACTTCAAAGGCCAAGAGTACGGTGTCATTTGCAATTAATTGCTTGACATGGTCATGAAATTTGTGCTTTTAAACGAACAGATCTAGAAAAGCACAGACTGCGACAGCTCTCTTACCGAATGATAGCTGCTGGAGGCATTAATAAATGGGCCTTGGGTTTGGATTCAGACTTTCATATCCACTAGGTTGATATTTCGATTAAAAAATAACGCCATTTTAAAAAGAAAATGCTGGCTAAAATCATTTGTTTTACATGTAGAATGCAGGTGGGTAACAAAAACAACAAAATTACGTGGAGCAAATATTGTCAGAGAGCATATTAGATAGACCTATTCGCCTGTTAATAAACAGTCCATGTGCTCTATTTCAATATACATGTCTCGTAATATTGCCATCAACAATCTAACTGAAATTTTCATGTGATTATACTCTTTGATTTTATTCTTAGATCGACTTTGCTGCTTTAAGAGATTAGCTCTAAACTTGAACAAATTGATTTGCCGCCTAATGAATTTCGACATCCGGTAGTCACCGATAGCATATCAATTTACCAATAGCATTTGTAACTTTTTACGTTGTTACTATTTTTAGATTTAAAGCCTGGTCGTATATACCACCAGAGTTTTGAATAGCGACAAAATCTAAGCTTTTTCCTAAGTGTGTCGGTCCAGTACACAGATGCATCACTTCTTGGGATTCCAGTTACTAATTATAGATACTTCTAAAGCCTAGTTGTTCGACATTTATGATTCCTGAAACTTATGGTTAAACTTACGCAAACTTATGGTTAAACTTACGCAAAACTTACGCAAAATGCCGTCGCATGATTGTGAGCTTAGAGCACAACCCTTCACCATGCACTGTACCAATATCGAGGCATATTATATTTAGTGAACTTATGTTAAAAGATGCCTTTCTAATGGTTCTAACTGCTAAAGAATGTGGCAAAATAAAGTCCGTGTACACACGTAGATAAATTATATTCATTTTTTAGATATCATAAAAAAATGCATAAGCATTTGCCTAACTTACTACAGGACTTCTTAAGTAATACTATCGCTATGACAAAAAACGTTGCGATAGACATGTTTGAGTGTCTGAGGCTAACAGTCTAAAATCATAAAAATCAATTTGATGTGCAAATAATTTAGTAGCCAATGATAATGGTGGTTGGTCGTCCTGATTTCGTGCGTTTAGCGCAAGCTGTGTAATATGTTCAGGAATCAGTACGATCATGATGTCTCTGTTTGGAGTCCCCAGGGACGCATTCATCAAATAGAATATGCTATGGAAGCTGTAAAGCAAGGGTCTGCTGCAGTCGCTTTGAAAAACAAAGACTTCTCCGTCATTGTTGCCCTTAAAAGAGCTCCTTCCGAACTCTCTTCTTACCAGGAAAAGCTTATACCTATTGATTCCCATATTGGTATGGCAATTACTGGATTGACTGCTGACGGCTTCTTGTTGGCAAAATCCATGCGCCGTGAATGTGCTGATAACCGCTGGGCATATGGCGAACCTCTACCCATCTCTCGTTTGCTGAATAAGATTTCACTCAAAATGCAAATTCCTACTCAGCAATATGGACGGAGGCCCTTCGGCGTTGGCATGTTAATTGCTGGATATGACGATCAAGGCCCACATGTTTATTACCTGGTAAGAAATTCTTAGCTTGTACGAACACACCCTAGTGCCCATCGTCGAACTCATATGACTGCAGGTCCTTCGCTGTCGGGTCGCGCTCTCAGTCTGCCCGTACATATCTTGAACGACATTTAGATCAATTTCCGAATTCTTCTTTGGATGAACTCATTGCTCATGGCTTAAAAGCGCTCAAAGGTTGCCTTCCAGCAGAGACGGAGTTAACGGGAAAGGTAGGAAGCTGGAATGTGTCTGCAATTGTTCGTTCCTTATGCTATCTTGTGGCAATCAAGAAAAGCAGGGATACCTAACTCTAACACTAGATATTTTGTCATTGAATCGTTTAGTATATTATATTATTCGGTCATAGCATACCTTTTGTACTTAATTGCCAACTTGTTTCTGACTACATTTTTCTAGTTTTTTTTCGACCAGAATAGTTGATAATTTACCAAGTATAATGAAAACACTAATTTAATATTTTGGCACGACCAATTTTGTGGTTTTGATTTGGAAACCTTAAATGCGACATACTGATTTTTTTCTTTAGAATTGTGCTTTGGCTGTTGTCGGTAAGGGAAGGGATTTCACAATCCTCAAAGAGGAAGATATCGAACCCTACCTGGCCGGTTTAGCTACATCTGTTCCTTCAGAAGTATCTGACCATTCTGCCGAACCCCAACCAGTTGCTCCAGTCCCAATGGATGAAGAATAGACATGTTGTCTGACGCATATGTACCCATTGCCTTCTTTACCTTGTGCGTTGTAATAAAAACTTGTTCATGCACGTAACCGATCTTTTAAGTGTGTGTGGATGCTGCGCCGTTCGCAATCCCTACTTTCATCATTCTAAGCTCCTGGTTTTTCAGTATAATCGATGTCAACATTTGCATTAAAATCTACCTAAATCTGTGGTACTGGTAATGTCATCGCGTTAATGATCGAGTCCTTTCAAAGGATCAGTATAGCTTGCGTTGTCATCAGCAACGTTCCAAGATGAGCTAGGTTCAACGGTATCAGGTAAATTCGAAGTCACCTTGATAGGGCTCATCGCTGTAGAGCTTCGCTGTTAGTCAATTTGGAAAAAAGTTCCGCATATCCCTTTATTTTCTTCCAAACATTGTTTCCCGCTTCTAAATGACCCCTAACTGTCGTTGACTTATGATCAGCTCATAGCATAAAGATTATCAGTTTTGGAAGGTAACTCTCGGACAAACTCATAAAACGGTTGATGGATAGTATTGTTTGTTGTAGCCGAACCTCAAGGTCCCAGAGCTTTATGTTATTGTATTTTTTCTGATTGTACAGATGGTTCACTGTTAGTGGACGGCCACAATAACGACAATGAGGGATTACGTTTTGCCAAAGCCAGGTAGCGCGCCTACAAAACTTACAATGGTTCAAGTGTTTTTTATGTGTCGGTCGATGTGTGGCAGGTTCCAAATGTGACATTCCACGTGTTGGGTGTACGTTTTTTTGTTTTTTTTTTCAAGGCTTATGTGACTAGTACTCAGCTGTACAACTGGCGGTTCACAACTGATGAATTGGCCAATCAGCGCCAGGAGTGCAATGCAGCCGCGCGAAAGCGCCTGGCGCCCGTAACTAAGGCAAACGCTGATGCTAGTCAAGGAGGAGTGAGCAATGCGGAGGCAGAGCCCCTGCTTCTCACTGCTGAGGATGAATTGATCATCGTGAAACGCTACATCCTCATTATGAAGGAGTTATTTCACAAGTTTGAGGAACCCAAGCTCCCGCCGGATGTAAGTCCATGTGAGTTGTGAGGCCTTACAAATCCTTCATGTCGGTTCCTACCCTGGAATCGGTCTTTCAGTCTTGGTCATTCCCCATTGGTTCATCGATTTCGGGTAACTGCAGCCTTTGAAATAATGGAGAAGGCTAACATTGCTTGGCTCATTAACTCTGCTGTTTGTTATCGTGTCTAAGAGGTTATTTACACTGATGTTCTTGTTTAATTTGGGGTTGCTGCAGACTAATCCATCGTAACGTATGTCGACGTTCTGGATGTACTAGGCGCTGTCAAATTTGCCAGTACTTTGAAAATAGGGGCTAGTTAATTCAAATCGCTCTCAATTATTTTCGCAGGTATTCGGTTTCGCAGCGACATACTTTAAACGCTTCTATCTAAACAACTCTGTAATGGACTACTTTCCCCGCGAGATGATGCTCACAGCCCTGTACTTGGCTTGCAAAGCTGCCGACTTTCCCCTTGGTCTGCAAACCTTCACATCTCACATTCCACGCAATCGCGAGCGCTACAGCGACTTCATAGTCAATTCGGAGCTTTTCCTGATGGAGAAATTGCAGTACGACCTCTGGATTCACACTCCCTATCGACCGCTCTGTGGGTTGATTGTCGACTTGGTGGCTTACCAGAACGCTCTTCGCGAAAGGCGAGGGCAAAAACCAGTGGAAGATGCAGCCAGTCTCGTGGCAACACTGAAGGCAGAGGGTTACGAGATCATACACACTTGGTTTCAAACAGATCTCTGTCTCACGCACCCACCGAGCCAATTTGCCCTGGCTGTGCTTCTCGAGTTGGGCCGGACACGGCCAGAGCTGGAGGTGGAGGCGTTTGTGAGGGATGAGGTGTGTGGCTGTGCTCCATTGAAATCCGACGAGCCCTGCGGGGATTCCAGTCGAGGTGAAGAAAACCAGCCGTCGGTTCAGTCTGGAGAGCCTACACCTCAACAGCAGTGGTCAAATCTCTCGGAGAAGATGGAGCACATCCAGGCCATGATTGCAGAGTTTGAATTCCTTGAGGACTTGTCACAGACTGGAGAGGAGGAGGCAGTGCTCCTGCAATGCCGAAATCCCCTTTACGATCCCCTATCGGAGGAATATGCGGCTGCGAAAGAACGAGCTAACAAACTGATGTCGTTTATTGAATAAAGTATCGCTGGCCAAGCCCACATTTCATCACGCTTATCAATGAACTATGGTAGAGTCCGGAAATCTATCCCAGCTACTCCAAGCCACTTTTCACGAAGTTGGTTTAAGTTTTGTGTTTCGGCCAGTGTTGTTGTCGGTGTAAATGAACGGGCCTGGAGGCTAACGCATCCACAATGCCAATGTACCTCCCTATTGTGTTCATGCAGAGACGCTAAGTTGCTTAGGCACGCGGACGCTTCACTGCATTCGGATGGACTTAACCGAGGTAACCGCTACCCATAGACTCCATCCCCAGGATTCTGACAGAAAATTAAACAATGTCATAAGAAATTTTGATTAAGTTTCGGTGACAGTGAAAACCCGTTCACCCCTCTCTCAAATCGCGTTCCATTTTCATCGTAAAATGTCGTCAAATCAGCTTGCCTTGATCTTAAAGGATCGTGTCGCTTCACGAGCAAATTCTTCAAGTTTAATAACTGCGTATATATTTGGTCCACCTTTAGCAATATCCTAAAACGCTAAAATTATTATTTTTTACTAGACAAACAAGCCAATTGAGGATTTTAGTTTTATTTAGTCAGGTATAACTCATAAATAGGAAAGCAGTCAATGGTGCGACTGAGAACTGGTATTTTAATGATCATGGGCGGCTATAGGTACATGTTAGCTTTGCGAAGAATAACACTCAAGGTCCCGAAATTTATTACAAAAGTGAGGCTGTACGTAGATGCCGGTAAAGTTTTCAAAGGCACAGGCTTTCTAACCCACGAAATTGAAACGGTTAACGCAAACTATAAATACAGACTGTGGGTACAAATGGAAGTCGATGGATTGAATCGTGTGGATTTTAAATTTCATGAACCAGGCCAGGAAGTTGTTCATGCATATGAGTCAGAGATAGGTAACGTTAGTGTCGGTGCAACAACATAAGGGAGGGAAATGCTGATAAGAATATGAACAACACGAAGGTAAATGAAGCCAAACCACCTAGTCAAGAATGTCCGCACAATGACAGAACTCTCAAGAAAAAGATGTAGCTGTAGCGGTACACCAAGGCAGTCGCCATCTTGGTGTCAGCCGTGAGTCGACTTCCAGCTTCACGGCGGCATTGTGTCTCCATTGGAGCGTCCAGGAGCGGATCAACGCGAGAGCAGGACGATCGTGCCGATGCTGCATAAAAATCCTTTTTTCCTTTGACGCTACCCAGACTGCAGTTTTTATCTGCATCCAATAAAGCCGTCCCTTCTAACTCTCAGCCTTGTTCTCATTATGGGTCCGAAATATATAAATGGTGGTAGCGGAAATGTCGTGAAGACGTCATTTGACCTCAAACTCTCGGAGACGAACAGAACTTTCGGACATGGGATAGATGCACTCCTGAAGCCACCTCACTTTGAACTAGGTGATAATATTGAGGGCCAGCTAGACGACATGGAAGACTTATTGAGCAGTATCGCCTCTCAAACCAGAGCACGCAGACTCCTGAGAAAACTGCCTGAAAGAGCCAAATTCAGAGCGGAACGGCACAGCTGTCGTACGGATGCCCCGTAATAAGAACTCAGAAAAAGGTTGTTAAAAATGCTTACTAACAGCTCAGATGAGTGTCTGGACAGGCTTGGGGATCGTTCATACCGCCCCGGAGAAAGTTTCCTGGATTACACGACTGAAATATGCAGTCTCGTGCAGAAGGCGTTTGATGAGGTGGGCCCCGAGAATGTGGCGTTTGCGCTCATCCTGAGAGGGTTGCTGCGAGAGACATACAAGCACCATGTTAGGTTGCTAAAGCTCCTACTTGGTGATGTGGAGAAGGCTCTATCGGAGAATCCTGCGTTGGACGGTTATTCTCCGTTCTCTCCGCTGGCACTAACTCGTCCTGCCCCTCGCTGGAACAAGCCACAACGAAGGACGACCCATGGGCCAAATTTCACGCCAACCGGCGGTTCGGCAACGATACAAGGTTAAGACATATTGGACCACGCTGGCCTCAACCAATCCTCTGTCTCTTTGCGTTCCAATAGTATGCGGGAAGATATCCAGCCTACACGTATGAGAAGCGGTATATAATGGGCGGCGTAGGCAGCGTGGGGGGCTTAGATCGACGTTGTCTGACGTTTTGTTCTGGCTTGTGACTGGTCAATAAAGCCTATTCTGTTGCACCAGTCTTCTTCATACTAGGGATCCTGTAATCTACAACAAATTGGGCAACGCCATAAGTTTGTAACGCGCCTAACGAGCGGAGACCTAAATAAGTAGATAATTGTAAGTCCGATTCTTTTAGATAGCCACACCATCAGGGTTAGCTACTAGGCATAAGATGGAAGAATAAAAGGAAGAACCGGATGAATTCCAGATTGCCGCATGCAAATTCACAAGACCAGAGCATAGGGACATTTAGAGCTGGGGGAGACAAAGGGGTGCCGTGAGTAGAGTCAGAGTTGTCCTCTGGCCACATGCGTGCCTTAAAAAAGCGAGATTGTAGAAGGGAAGGAAAAGACAAAGAAAAGTCTTGACCGGCTTGCGCAGACAGCAGTACGAGTCACAAGGTCATCTTTCAAACGTAAAACCGCTTGGAGTATGTACTAAAAATGGATTAAAACAAAACTTATATTTTTAATAGTAAAATGATTGTTTAAAAGATAGTAAAATACAATTTACTCGCTTATTTTTTTGCAAATCCAAAGTTAAATTGTAGTTTTTACCTTTAAAAATTAACTTTTGTTCACACCATATTTTTATATTTTGTTTGTAGAACATTTGGTGTTTTGAGGCATAAAAAATCTTGTCATATAATTATTTTTCATTTCATACTAGAATCACTTCGTCAAATGTGATTTGCTTGGATCTGCTTGTTAATTGTACGTTTTAGTTATTTCCGTCCTCTTTCACCTAGCCGTCACTCCCTCCCAAACCTTATTATATTCTTTGCTGAAAATATAGTTTATGTTTTGGTAGCGCTGCTCTTCGATATGGCAACATTGTTAAAATTAATTCCTACGTCATATTCGTGAACCACGTTAATGCCATTTTGGCTACGGTGAATCACATTGACTCCAGATCATCACAACTGTCTACGCAAACAGGCATTTAATAATTGTCCATCTCCTTATTTACCGATGCACTAATAGAACACGCATTCATTCTTTTTTTTTAAAGCCCGTGAACTGCCCTCTTACCCCATACATTTGATACTGGTCCTCTGTGGATGTGCAGAAACAAACACGTATTATAACACCAATCTTGGCAACTCAATAATCTGTTGAGTCTTCACTTCCTTCTTTTTACCTATTTTCCTCAATATATTTATTATTTATTTTATGATTATGGTCTTTGCTCACTGCAACTACCTCAGATTTGGGACGGCTCTCTGTGGTGTAGATAAGCTCTATGGGTTCCTGTTTATCAAAAAAATTGAAATTACATTAAATTATGGCCTCATCAGAAGACTACGACCAATTCATATTTTAGTGTTATTTGAGTTTTTAAGAGTGCATAAGTTGAGCTTACTCTCATTTTTGGCTCAAATTGTTTGGCTTTTAGCTCACAAAACTGGGAAGATATGTTGGAGTTTTTTACATAAGGCCGAAATGGTCATGTCGGAAGATATTTTGAAGGAAAATCATTGCCGTAGCTTCTTTGCTGTGCAATATCTGTGTTTAGTTAAAGTTTAAATAAAACTCTTATTCATTGCTTCAGTTTCTGAGAAGTCACGTTCTCTGCCAAATTTTCCATGGTACGATCTCAAACACGTAGTAAATATTCTTGATTCACGTTCACTAACCCGATTTTCTCTTTTCACGTCAAAATCAGCTACGCAAGACAGTCTCCGAATACATCATGCACATTACTTCCACCCCTCCCCCCCGCTACTCAGTCCATACAGCAGTTTCACCCAGACTGCTTAATCAACAAACTTCATTAGTTGTACACGATTATTAACACACAGTTGCGTGCCACACACATCAAAGTTTAGCCTGGTAATAGTCGGTTGCTTGCGCCACCTTGTCCTCCCAAGTGCCGGTGTAGCCTATCAAATGCGTCCGCAGGTCGACATACTTAACACGCTGGCGCTTCCATTTCCACTTCACCAAAACCAACCTAACGTGCATCACACTAAAAAGACACTGTGTTTGGTTGTCAAACCAAAGCGAATCTTTGGTAAAGCGAGCCCCATACCCAATGACGCCTCACATGGTAGGAACGGCGTGGACGTGGCCTGGTTACAACCCCCAAACAACCAAAACACAACACCAATAGGCTCGGGATTGCGACTTCTTGAAGCTGACAACTTACCCCAGAGACATTCACCAACCCCATACACGAGGAAACCATATTCGCCATTTCATTGACATTGCCTTCTGGAATAGTACTTTACAAACGAGAAGACACATCTGCACATTACCATGGCTGTACATTTATTGTCATAGTTATGTGTGGATAAAAACATGGCAAAGTGATAGCGAAATTCGAGGTGATAAAAAACGATCGATTAGATTCCAGGTGACCTTTACGTCGCCGTTTCAGATTTATCAGCAGCCTCAGTGCCTTCTATGTAGGCTCGCAAGTCCTCGATGCAGCGTTGGCCGCGTTCGTGCAAGATTTTCTTCAACAACGGCAACAACCGTTCCTCCAATTCACTGTCTTTGCTAAAATCGAAAATTGAGGGAAACGCTACGGAGAAATTGCACGGTAACTAAAAACGCACCTAGTAACAGAAGAAACGCGTGCGAACTTACTTGCCCAACAATTAAAGTAGCCTGTGCCTAATGACACATCCATTAATGGCACAACAATCGCAAAATGCTCTGGCAAACTTCGCTTGTTCTCGTTAACACAAAAATTGGCCAAATTTGGCGCAGCATAAATTGATTATCCACTGTGTTTTATAAATAGATTGTTAATGTAAACACGGTAGTAGTAGTAGTAGTAGGAGTAGCAACGTGCCCGACAAAGACAATAGTAACCACGTGTTAGGAGAGCTGGGATTCTCTTGATAATAAAGAGTAACAGGTAGGGGACAATAACTCCAATCCTTGTCAGTGAAAACAGGCTAAAAAAGAGTGCAGTGGAGTATACGACGAGTTAGCATAGGGGTCCATATCGCATCATTTAAAGCATTTAAGAGACAGAGGAAAAAGCAAATACACGCATAGCTAACCTGATGAGAGTCCTGACAACAGTGGCAAATGTTTCACAATCCCTTTTATACTCCTACACAATAGGTTTAAACGAAAGAGTAAACAATTACCTCTTCAATAGCAGCCTTCTTTTCTTGAATTAGAGCATACTTATCTTTAACTGAGGTTGTGTTTTCCACAGGTGATTTATCTACATAAAACAGATAAAGCAAATTAAGCATTTGCATCAAACAGTCGCTTAATAGTAATGCAAAGCCTTCCGCAAATAATCTAACTTCAGAATGTGGAGAAAATTGAAATGCTTTACCCAGCAGGCGGCACCAACGAAAGACCTACCTGAATGGGCCTTCTCGTGCTGATCGACAAATTCCTCCCACGATTTATTCTGTGTTTTAGTTTTGGGCTTTTCGATAGCAGGTGGACTGGCGTTAAGGTGCCTGGGACTATTGCTGTTGCTTTTTGCGATATCCATATCAACCGCCTTCCTCTCGGAGTTAAGTGGAGAGAGAACAATTTTGCCACTCCCAGGCGCCGGTTTTCCACCGTAGGCAGCAAAAAGAGAATTAGCAGCGGGCTGTTTTTGTTGAGGTTCCTCATAGTAACTCACGGGTCGCCAGTTGTTTCCACTGAGGGTAGGTTGCATAGTTCTAAACAAATTGATCGAAGATTTGAAGCCAATGGCACAATCAATAAAGAGGCTTGTTTAGTTTCTATTTCTAGATAGTCAGCTGACAAGCAAGTTAACTCGACCTTTTGCATAAGACTACAAGTATAAGCATACAGGGGGTCAGGAATACTAACAAATAAAGCTTTGTAGCTTACTCCTTAGCAGGCGAAGGACTTTTCGATTCCTTCGTAAAGAGACCAGATGAGAGAGGAGAGTTGTGTTTTTGCCGTTGATGACGCCGTTTAGGCGACGGCGACCTGGTGGAGGAACGAGAAGTGGCCGAATTGCTGTGGGACGAGGAATCAAGGCGTTGTGATGCTTGCGATTGCAAACGCTTTGATTTCAACTGAATGAGACCACTCAACAAACCACTTCCTTCATTTTCAACAGTCGCAGTGGGAGCTGGTGCATTTGAAAAGCCTTGAAAAATGACACAATTTATGATTATGTGGGAAGAATTAGATTTCGTCGATCAACGTCAAACCTACTCGAACGAGAGTTGATGGGAGAATTGAGACCATGACTGGAGGTCGGGACAGCAGGACCACGATCGGGAAAAGATCCGCGACGATTGCTTAACTTATTTCGATTAGACAATGAACGGTTTGATATGGAGTGTGAGGAAGAACCTGAACGAGAGGATGATACGCTTTGAGACTTTCTCGACCTTCTCTGTGACATTCTGGTGAAGTTTTCTTCACCCTGAGCAGAACCATTCCCCAATTCACGGGTTAGTCGCCTCCTAAAGGATAATGAGTAATTAATATTATTAAACTTATAAACATGCCTTTTGGGGGAGACTGATTGGGAACCAGAACGCGATCTTGAAGAAGAATGCGAAGAAACGGATGGACGACCGCTTATTCTTCGCCCAACAGGAGCACCTCCAGAGTATGACCGATCTCGAGTGCGATTAGGTGAGAAGCCACGACCTCGCCTATCGGAGAATCCTCTATGAGAGCCTCTAAACCCCCCTCGAATATTGCGGAACCGATTATGACGTTGTTCCTCGTAAACTAAACCTAAGTGAACAAGAAACTGGGACATACCACGTGCCCTGGCCTTTTTTAAGTCTTTAAACCAAGTAACTTCAACTGGATGCCCCATTAGTTCCTTCCCATTATACCTACAACCAATATAAACAATGAATTTTGTTACTTCTCAAGCATTTCTCTGGCAGTTTCATGACTCTTAAACCGAATAGCAACGGAAAACCGGACTTTGTCCTCAGACGTCGAAAAGAATTCTACAGTACACTTCGACTTTGACTCTTCTGAAAAGTGATTCCTTCGAGAGTGTAAACAAAGCTAGTATCCTACTTAACAGAGTCCACGTTTGTCGAACCAGGAAGACCACGGATAAAAATCGTATGACGACTTGGAGGGACGTATCTGGGGTTGACTCTATCCATAGGTTGACGGCGGAAACTCATTCTTGAAACTCGAGCTCAAATTAACCAAAAATTACGGCTACTCTACGTAAAGTGAGTTGTACCAACCCAGTGAATTAAAACAACCATTTGTTCATCAGCCTATATTTTGTGTTAAAAAGTAAACACAGTTAAAATAAACCATATAGATAACATTTGAAAATTTAAAAGAAAATCATATTCAAAAGTAAAACAGTGTTGCATTAAAGTTTTGACTGGTATTGTCCCTCAACATTTGAGCACTTACGAAACGTCAGCTATCATAAGATTTCTGACCACCTTTGTTGTCTAACTAATAGCTTGTTTCAAGCAAAAATTCATTCGTTTCCACATTTTTTGATCTCCAAAATGTGCGAGAAATTCAAATTCGATGATAATTAATCTGCGTTCGGTCTTGAATTTTAACGGCATTTCTGTCCGACGCGAACGTCTCTCCTAAAATTGTGTTGCGAAGTAAGCGATTGGAATATTACATGATTACTGGACTTGGGAAACAACATTCGCATTGGTTACAAATCCACGCGGTTTGTGCCACTTTCACGCGAGAGTTATGTATTTTTTTTTTCAAATCAATTTTGTGGGGATGAAAAATTATAATTTTATAAAATAATCAAACATAATATAGTGGTTAAGTATTGCACTATTCTCTTTGTTCAATTTTGTAAATTTGGATTTGGTGGCATTTAGTACAGCTCATACATACTTTTAGTCCCATGTTCCCTTACTTGAATTTTGCTTTAGCATTCAAAAAGGTTATCGTAGTTTCGAGTTGTTGTTAAAAAAACGTCAACCCCATGTTGTCAACATCTTATAGTGAATCGCTTTGATTCTCGCCCGTTAATCTGGTTGTTGCAATCTGTGGAACACTGGCCCTTAGTTCAGCCTTAGGTGCCAATATGCACTTAAATAAGACGTACATCCCAGATATTTTTTGATTTATTCTGACCATACAGTATTTGGACGTAAACTTGTTTGAGCATGATATTGATCATGAACATATTAATCTTGCAAGCTCACTCACTCGCACATCTATGGTTTTCCACTTGTGATTTTAGGTACTTAAGTAGCCAAATTCAACTCAGTGGCTTCTGCATTTTCACGACCACATTTCGGGGTCTTTAACATTTAATGGCCTTGACGTGATGCACCTGACAGCATATTCAATTTTAGGATAATAATCAACCCATATTAGTTCGTTGACTCTGTTAACCACACCATTTATTTTGTAGCATATGACGTGCGAATGGACATGTGGCGTCTTATCTAATTAATCAAACCAGACGCAATTGAGTAAACATTGCATTGGATGTCACCTCTCATTAATGCATTAAAGAAATTGACTAAAGGTCGTGGCTAGACAAATCAAAGACACAAAGTCTACGAATTGATACACCTTTTTCTTACATGAAGCTTTCACGCGTTGCCTGTCTAAATTCCACCTAGAAAACTTTCACAGATTCGGTGAATAACGTAGCTGATTAGTAAGCAATTTATCATATTCACAAAAATAAAAATAGTGGATTTTAGCCGAAAGTAAAAATAATCCAACTAGTATATTGATGGAGCTACGAATTGACCAGTGAACTACTATAAACTGGTATTAGTCATTATAGTGTGAAAACATGAGATGGTATTTCGTCGTATTTTAAACACATTCAAGAAAAAACAACATTGTGTGTGCAGTCAACATGAGCGTTTCATATACGGCACCAGAAAACACGGTTATGCACTAACTATGGGAGCCAATAGGATAATTGGGTAAGCCCCAAACCAACTTGAGTGATATAAACTTCTTTGGACAGCGTTCAAGTGGACGATCCGTTGGTTGCATCTGAAAGAATCCCCTGCTATTGCAGCTTACCTCCTTTTTTGACTTGTAATGTAGTGGCATGAATGGCATTTATCCAAACCCTCATAATATACAACATTGTGGATCAATTCATTAGATGATTCAAATTAACGGGAAAAAATTTATATGCTCTTTGAAGCTAATTGAGATTGATTTTAGCTACAGCTATGGAGGTAGTTACCATAAATCCACACTTTAATGTCGTAAAAACACGCAGATTTTAGTTAAATTATTTATGATGCAGGTAATTCATAAACGGACACAATTCATAGTGGTCGTTATAAATCGAATGCATACTAAGTTTCTTACCGACATACAATCCCCCATGTAAAAGAATTTAGCCGTTTTTAATGATAATGGGCTCAAAAATCAACAAGTGACACAATTTGTAGTCCTAAATTTTTAAGGTAATGAGGCCTTATACTGATGCCATGGAATGCAAGTTAAGGTGGATCATGATAAGATTTTGCCACGGTGAGTCGCTCACTTCCTGTATTTACCGTTCCTTCCTGAGGAACACAAAACTAAATGGTTTTCAAATGTTTTTACAAGCCAACGATGACAAGTGGCTTGCTCTTAGTACCACAGCTACGTATATGTTGCCAATGGTATATAAACGTATGGTTATAGGGCTGACCGGAATTATGCAATGTCGACGATTATTTTAATGGAAAAAATTTCTTTACGATAAATGAACCTGTACACCACTGTTATGACGTTCGTCAGAAGATTTCAGAGTTGTGACTGTAAATGGTTGCACGTGTAATAGAACTTGAGGGTTTTGTAAACAGTCCATTCAAAAGCACACACAATCAAATTAGGAGGCAACTGTTTAAATTCTTAACCTTCATTATTTAACGCATTCATATTATTTGAGATCGTATTTTTTTTAGTTCTCCGTACTGCCTTTTGAAGGAGGCTATATTATTGAACCTACGTTGATAAAACATGAGGGCTTTCCATAACCTGGGCGAAAAGTTTAGGCCCTACATTTATGTTTGCTTCAGGGTCATTTGGTCGAAATGTTTGTACCTAACCGTGAAGGTGAACGAAAAACTGTTATAGAAAGGATAGCATAAACAAAATCATACTGAAACGCTTTGCTTGCCCTTAAATATTTTCTTCGTGGTTTTTGTTGACATGATTTGAATTAATTGGCGGCTGAATCGCAGTTGAAGTCTTCAGGTTGTTCTCAGACGAATAGATGGCAGCGCTTCCCGTAGAAGGCGACAGTTCTAAAAAGACTAAGCCTCCGCTTGATTTGGGAATTCTTGAAGAAGATGATGACTTCGAAGAATTCCCCGCAGATGGTTTTTCCTTATTTCGGCTTACTAGCCCCCATAACTTAGATTGTGCGACAGGATTGTGTATAGATCAGGGCGAAGTATCCCTATGGGGAGATAATTGGGACGATGATATTGTAGAAGATGAGTTTTCGACACTTCTCAGGTAGTCAGTTCTTTTAGTTATTTTTTGCTCCAGGGCCGAATTTCAGAAACAAGGTAGGGCATTTGTGCTTCCTGAAATTGCTGCATCAAAAATGTAGTTCTGATGTTACTAATAAATATTGTTAACAAACTTAGCCTTTTGATTATTCACTTTGGTGTCATCGTTTTCCGCTTATTTGGAGATGTGCTTGGGGGTTGGGTAGAGGTTTATTTGTCTATCCATTGACAGTATTCACTAACTACTGGCACACGTCTCGCTTAGTTAATTAGGTCAGATTTCGCTATGGTGCTAGTCATCTGGGCTGTACTAAAAACGCAGGTTCTTGCGCTGTATCCATGTCTTATGTCAGATTCATTGTCGTTTTAGAATGCTTTAATGTCAAGCTAAACATGGATACCGATGCTGCGGCGTTTTCCCTCGTGGACCAAAAACCTGTTAACTTAACTGGTATCGAAACAAGCGTGAATGTAAAAATCAAACTAGAAGAAGTTGAATCATCCTCTACACCGCAGGTGCCTCCTCTGCGAGTTGGTTGGGATGGTGAAATTTGGACTATTATGTCAAGTGATTCTGAGGATAGTTTGTTTTGGATCAGTTCCCCGTCCTCTGACGTCGAGCGTCCAGATAACGCCTCAGAGGAGGTGGTTCGCTCCCAAGGTGCTTCAAAAAAGCGACTTTTCTCACTCACTCCGGACGACGACGATTTTGACGACAACGATCAGTCCGCCCGGAGCGACGCATACCACCAGCAAAAGTTGGCGAAAGCCATCGCCTCAAAGTACCGTTTCGGTGGCTGCATGCGCACATCGGTGAATGCAGCCTCTAAACAGCGGGTTGTACTTAGTAAATTGCGCGTTAGCGCCACCAGTCTTCTTCCCGGCGCGCTCGTTTGGGCCCTTCTGCCGCAGAAGTACCAAGTGCCCTGGTGGGCAGGGATCATCGCAGGCAGACCGATCAAGCGAAGGAGCAAGGACAGCACTGAAGTGTGCTACTATCGCGTGGTTCTAGTCTGCCCTCCGCACCAACTAACACCCGAATGCTCCCCCCTCGTGTCCCAGAAAAACCTCCGCCCGTTTCTCGGTCGGGCTGCCTTCGAGGCGTTCATGCGATCTGTTTTGGGTAATGCCAAGAACAAGGGGCAAGCTCTAGCTCAATTTTGTATTCCTCCGAGGTACGAAGATAATTGGCACGCTGCTAGGGACCAGGTGGAAGCGGCCTCGAACATTCCAGTCAAATCATTGCACGCGCGGTTTCGCTTTCTCGGTATAGATCTGCCTCGTCTCCAGGTTAAGTGGAAATTCGACGACAAAAAACGCAAGGAGCAACTTGCGAAGTTAAAAGGAAGCGTCGGAGGTAAATAGGCCACCTTTTTTCTTGTGGGTTTTTTTTTTAATTTGCAAAAATTCACACTCGCTGTTTTTGTTTCTACTCAGCTAGTAACCGCGAAACGCCCGAATATATCTTTCCATTCAAAAGGAAACGCCCTGAGCCCACTAAGCAGTATGCTGTTCCAGCGAAATATCACGTAAGCTCTCTTTGTGTAGAGCATTATTTCGTTACTTTAAACCAATTTTTTTTAAATTAACTTTGTCGTTACATTAAATTTTCACTCATTTATGAAAGTAAATGATTACATGCCCATAATTGTCCAATTTTACTCAACACAGAGCAGAATTAGGATTTAAACTCATCTAGTACGTCTATCCACGTATTTCGACGCCATGTTTTTGCCTCATTTCCCACGTAGTCGCGTAAATACGGTTCACTTCAAAGTGTTCAATTGATTTTTCTTTAAGAACCAATCCCGAGGTGGGTATTTAGTACAACGGGTGGTAGTTTTTCCCGTGATTATGAGTTAGTAGACTTGCAAAGTTTCTGTTTAGCAAAATTCGTTATCACGTCTAGTAGTAAGGTTGAATAAAATGTCCAGTGGTATCTCATGAATCTGCGAGCCCAACTCCTCAGAGGCGTAGATTTTGTTTCTAGACTCGTTCCTACCGTTCTGGTTTTTGCCTTTAGTCGGTGTCTAGTGATAAGTCGCATGAAATGAGTTGATTTGAATGTGGAAGTCTGCATGTTCTTCTTCTTCTTCTTCCAGCCGCGAACCCTGCCGAAAGACGATGTCTTCGCGTTCGAAGTGCTCACCTCGCAGACCCAGGTGCAGCAGACACGCGCCCGATTCATCTGCTGCGTCTGTCTCAAACCGGGTCAGTTGTTGGCTAAGAATAAGAAACCCGACGAGACGGCCGGCGGGAAGGCGGCGTCGGCTGCGGCGACCAAACCGAAGCCCCGGGTGTCCGCCACCCTGCTCAAACGTCTCAA